TCACCTATTTACAGCTACCCAACCGTTATATGGTCATCCCGCCATAAGCTTATCACAACCGTCTGGATTTGGGTATTTACTACCTTGGGCCAGCTTCTACCTAGCTAGTTTGATTTTGTAATAACTGGTTACTGTGGTGATAAAGTGGTAAAGGTCGCCAAATTATTGTCCCAGAGGACGCGTGTTCCAATCCCACCACAACCAGCCTTCTGTTTGGCCGCTTCCTCTTCCCGAAAATCGTACCATTGTATATCCAATAAAAAGCAAGCAAAATACAAGAAGAAAGGTATCTTTAGTCTACGGACTTTTCTTCTGATCGGTAAATAACAAGTGTTTCAAGCAAGGCTATTTTAGATACCGAATAATTCAATAGTTTGGAAACACTGATGAGTAGAGAATTCACTGGTAGTTCATTTGAACGTCTATCTGGCGAAATTTGGTCAAATAGCACTGCGTAATCACAATCCACAATCAGTGATGATGGCACTCGCCTGGAAAACACTCTCAATAAGAACTGACACTTTTATCATTCCGGATAGCAAACTTTTACTACACCACAAACTCGCACCGTGAGCAACGTATAACACTCTCCTGAGCTCCTAACAGATATTTTTACGCCTTCCGATCACCGCAGTTGAAACAGTAGTCTAAGATGATTACAACTCATCTACATCCTTTGCAGCTACTCCCGAAGAAGTCATGCCCATCTATTCTCTCCTGAGTTCTGCCTTGGCTGAAAAGATAACGAAGTGTAAATTGAAAGTCTCTTATTAATGGTATGCGAGGACCAACATCAGCATCTATGAATACTTAAAAAAGGGTAAACAAAATTAAAGAAATATCTTTCTGTCTGACAAAAACAGTTAGCGTATTAAACCACGGATGGCTTAAACTGATAACTGACCTTTCTTCCTCCAATTTCTGATGATTTAAACGCTAGCTTGGAAATGTGCAGTAATCATAGACAAGGTAGACAAATCATTATTCAGCGATTTATCTGTCAAACCACAGATCAAGAGATACTCAACTGTGTACGGAAATAGTGTCGACAGGGCTGTATCACTCACTTGTGGCCACGGCCTGGATCCCTGATCCGATACGAAAAGTAGCCAAACTGGAATTCGGATTATTGCGCCAGGCGAGCAAATAGCCGCGATGTGTCACACCTTTTTGTTCATTAAACAGAAATAGACCAGTAATCAGTTTTAGTTTGATAAACAATTTTTTTCACAGAACGAATATTTACGGAAATGATAAGAAACTCTAAGGGTAGTGGTAGAATATGGAAATCAAAAGCTTGTTGGTCACGTGAACAAAGCAAATGACCTGCAAGACTAAGTACTTTCCATCTGTTCGAGAAAAATGAACAGATATATAGAAAGAATACCTAAAACAATTTTGAGGCGGAATTATGCCTTATTCTACTCTGTCTCATAAGCTAATCACCTGATATATAAACGAGTCCAATTTTAAGTAGTGCCAGCTCGCTCTTTTCCAGGTTTGATAACAGTTAGGATATCTATTCTCTATCAAGCTTACTATGGTTTTGTAGGTATGGGTTAGTTGGACCGAGGTAAACGGTGTTGGCACCAAATCGCAGCTAGTAATATTGAAAAGGAGTTATTTTAATAAAAGCATGCACATTTTGTTGTTTGGACTCTGCTGCCACTTTCTAAAGTGTCCTAGACATATATCTTTGTACTAACTTCTATCATACGTCGCAGTATGGTAGAAATTAATTAAAACCAACCTTTTTCAAATTCCAAATATTCTGGTATCCATAGAGGTATTCTATTTTCCTTTGAACTGTGTTGTTAGAAGTACTATGATGAGCTTTTGACACAAAGGGCTTGATCAGCTAGGGGAAGCGTTATCGATCCACAAGCAATATGAAACGTTCTCACACAGCCAATACATTTTTGTGACACCACACGCAAGCAAACTAGATTTGCAAGAAAGAGAAAGCGGCCTGATGCCGCATTCCGACCACCATAATATTTCATCACTTAGAGGATCTGGCATGCTTCGAAGGCTGATCGTTTTAATTGGTAAGGTGCAACTCATATGGTGAGAGAACATCTTAACTGAACGCAGGGCAATGCATAACTTGGGAAATTATAAAAAGTACCCGAGAACTTACCAACAACCATGCTAATATCCGGGCAAAAGAGTATTCGAATCACTTGATGTAGATGGGGGTTCCAATCAGCAAATGTTTCACAGTACTCTGTGACCTAGGGTAAAAACGTTAGAAAACTCTAAACGGTGATTTTGGTTTGGACGAATAAACTGAACGGATCCAAACATAACATTTTTCAACTGATGTAGCCATTTGTTCAAGGTATTTACCCCAAAAGTTTAACTCAGGTGCACGGCTTCTGACCCCTAACCCCGAAGTTTGAGGTTCGAGTCTCGACCGGGACATAAAAGTACGCACTGGAGCTGAGTTCCATCAAGGAGGAGACCGTTGTCCAGTGTTTTTTCGTTCAATAAAGAATCTTTCTGTGACAGATTAAAACCGTTGAATATGAGGGAAATTATTGATGTCCTAAGCATTGGAATCCACACCCACGGTCATAAGCAGTGCTTGGTACCAGTGCAAATATAATAGGCTAACCCAAAAGTTACATATAGAAAGAGGAGTAAAATTTCCTTGGTCTTGTGAATATACTAGAATTTTTTACTTAATAAAGCAGAGGTGTTATTCAGGTGATATGTTTCTGACATTTTAAGGATCCACCAGCGGTGTTCTATTGCGCACTAGTCGAAATTCTCAATTTTGTTGCTCCAAAGTCCTAAAGTTTTCGCATTTAGATGAGCCCGAGGAAAACGACAAATTTTACATTGGAAAAAATAACTTGTCACTCATCATTCGTTCAAAATAGTTTAACTGGGGTCACCATAGAGACATTGAATGATTCGCAATGGGCTTATCCATCACTAATTCAATGCGCGATTTAGGACGGTTTGTTAATTTTCCGTGACTGCAATAATTCCAACTGGTCAGCGGGATTCTCTTCTACTTTCGGAATCACATCAGTTTGTGTGACGAATCGTTTCGAGTACTATAATGAATCTTGGGATGAATGGGAAGGGACTTGTGGTGTTGTCGGTCACATTCCGAGGATTTGAGGTTAATCATATCCGGTCCACTGATATATTGGATCTCATCTAACTATTTGCGCATCGTGATGATTGAGGAAACTAGCTACGACAAACCGTGAAGGTGTCTCGTGAATAAAACAAGATGGTTTTATCGAAAATTATCTACACTTGTATTTTCTTGTTATGCTCATCGAAATTCATTTTTAGAAGGATTTCACAGTATGTCCAAAGCAAGGATTGTGAAATTTGAATCAATTACCAATGTGCGGTTGTACCAGGCAGCTTCTAGAGCCCATCAGAACCTCAGTGAGATCATGCGTGTGAAACTGATGTTGCTTGTTTGCCTATCAACCAAAACTGTTTACTATAACCGGTGGGATTTCCGAATATATTTACATCGGTATAAACAGATATCAATAAATAAGCTCTTACTGAGAAGCCTAACTTCGGTGCTTCTCTGGTAGATAAACAGAGTGTAAACCGCAATAAGCACAAGTTCAATATGCACTGAAAACCAGCTTAGCAGCTTAACTTTACGTTAAAACTGTTTATTATCAACAATTATTGTTCAACAATGCACAAAGGAGTTAGTTAACCCCATCCCATTCTTCCTAACCGCCCATTTTGATGTGTATAGGTGAAATATGATAACATGAGGGTAATTCGGTTAGTAATTCTCTTCACACTTCGATATTTCGTTAAACCCTCTTGTTCCAATTGGTTCAGGTTATGAGAACATGGAATAGCTTGTTCTCAGCTTTTGATCGACTGCCTGAATACAACATCTGTTGTAGTTAACCAAAGATGGTCTCGGGGGGGGGGGGANGCAAGTAACCAAACAGTTGGCCACATTTGATCAAGATGTACTTGTGATAAGTCGTATGCGCGTGTGAGAGAGACATTAGGCAAAAGACTGGTCAAAAGTTGGTGAACACGGTGTAAGTCACACATTTGTGAATGGATAGCCATAGTATGCCCTCTATACTCCCAAACTGCTTCTGGGCCCAGAACGGGATTGTGTAAGCAAATTATAATTAACCTGATCTGAGTGCTGTGTTTTGTCAACCGAAAAGCACCAAAAACGAGCGTGACAGCGAACATGTGTTCTGCATTTCAGGAATTTCCTTTCAATACGGTTCATGCCAGTCCATGGGCACCGAATACCGCGAATTACTTACTGCAGTTCGTGTGGATTTCAATGACTAGAACTTTGGTTATTCGTTGTCACACTCTTCATTATATAAAAGATATCAAATATGCCAAAATGTGTTGGTACCTGACGAGTATAACCCATATATTTATACGCGATTCACAAAGTTTAATATTCGTTGAATTATAGTGTGATACCTCAAACAAAATAAAATAATATTGTAGCCATGACGGTTAGGAACTAAAGGATATGTCCGTGCTGCAGTGTGTACATGTGTGTGTGTTGGTGTTGGTGAGTTCTCCGAGCTAGATTTGTTGTTCGCAGACGTTCTGTAGTCCAGTTATCATCATTGTGTGTTGTGTTTGAATATGTGTACTTTCACCGAGTTTGAACTAGAAAGGAACAGTGGGACGTAACTTTTTGTCTATTATTGAATCATTGTTCACAAACGAAACGTGTCAAAGAAACCTTTCCTCCAAATTCACTATGGCGTTTACCACAAGGCATATTAGTAGGTTTTAGCTCACGGATTTCACCCAGAGTATTTCAATGTCCCAACAAGCGCACTCTCGTATACACAGCAAAATTTACAACAAAAATTCCAATATTTTACTATTTCACTTACATCAGTTGCAGTGTGTATGTCGTAAATTTTTACAGGACTCTCAGCGGAAGCCACCCAGAATGTTTCTGTGGTTGGAATAAAAGTGATACCTTGAGCATAAAAGTGGAAAAGAGACTGAATTTATGAAAGTGAACTTTCATTAATTGTAAAATATTCATCAACTTGGAATATGTTCATAAAACCTTGAGTTTATTTTATTTAGTCTGATTTGAGGTTGCTTGCAATCATCACATAGTCTCATTTGCAATATTGAATTCGATTTTTAAAAAAGGCGGAACAAAATGATCTGATCATATGTTGCTTGTGTGGCAACAACACGGTGGGTTATATGGAATGGACTAATGTGAATACATTACAAGCAGTCCTATGAAGGATTTACTGCAATAATAGGAATTTATTTGACTGATCACTTCGTCTCCCTTCATGTATCACACTGTTTCCTTGTATAACATAAACCTTTTCAGGAAAAACCAATCTGTGTGTGGGAAACTCGCCAGTTGTTCCCCGGGAGACTTTCGACAAACGCAGGTCCTGCCCCCGTAAATGAAAAATTACGAGAATGTGTTTAGCGTGCATAATAGAGGGATATATACAGTTTCAACTTACAATCTAGTCTATTCAGATTATACACATCTGCCTTCGACTGCGAAGTTCCAGTGTTTGGTCGTCTACAAGAGTGATACTTTTGGTCTCTGAAGTGGAAAAGAAGTCAATTCCCGAATCCAAATAAAATATTTGATTTTAGGTTTCTGTCTGAAGATCAGGCGAAGCACAGTGGTTGTTTTACAGATACGAATCACACTGATTCATAGGCTCACAACTTGGCTGTAAGAAACACTTTGAAGAAATGCCCATCAATTAGGTAGCTAAACCTGTCCTGCTTCTATCTCTTCTGATGAGGCTCTTTGAATAAATTCCCCACCTTCCGCTTGAATTTGCTTCGACATTCCAATCTACATTTTGCTCTTTTATCCAAATGGGCAACCAAAACCGGCGCACGAAAGTGCATGGTTAATGGTTGTAATAACTGAATTGAACTTTGGTAAACCACATCTGTTTGCACTATCAGCACTCTAATTAGTCCGCTCAAAACATTGGAAGAAACAAATGGAGTGGAGAACAAGCTCGATTTCTATCATTCATATTCTTGCCAATGCATCACAATATTAATCACTACGTCACATTGTTTGTTGATAACTTTGTGTCATCTTCAGCAAATGCGCATTGAACCACATATATACACAGCTTCTGTAAACGGTTGCTCATATTAATGTACTCGGACTCAACTGTTGTTGTCGAAATGAGCAACCAAAGTAGCGCTTTTAAAAAACTACTAATTCTTTCACTGTATCCCAGTACCACTGCTAAGTATCTTGTTAATGTCAGAAGTACATAGGCAGTCACATTTGGTTCAAATGAAACGGCTTTATTTGAGGGAACCTAGACATGAACTGAACGCGCTCATTCAACATGCAATATTTATTCGACATTGTTATGAGCATCCGCTTACAGAAGCTGTGTATATGTGTGGCTCAATGTGCATTTGCTGAAGATGACACACAGTTATCAACAAACAATCTGAATGTGCTACGTAATGACACGAAAACTAACTCTGATAAACTCGAGCCCAAAGAGGAATTGAGGAAAAACCGTCTTTAAAAGTTACTTTGGGTCGGTTTTACTTCAAGTTCAGCTCGATTCAGATGAGATTGACGTCACATAGTAAAGAACAAATGCAATCAAACTGATGCGCTGACAATGTAAAAAATGATGAAATAATAGTGAGAAACCAATCGACAAAGCCAAGTAACGAGGGTACCAGAGGGATGGTAGATGCAATTCAGTATTCAATCCGAAAATAACGATGAAAACATCGAACTTCTGATAATTAGTAAGTGATTTCAGATTTTCTCGTGCTTGTTAGATGAAATACTGCGAGTCCCTCCTCTGTAGCCGAGATCTACTAACAAGCGTCCTGTCAACTGCGCTCTTCAATACCAGCAATAAATAGGTGATCGAATTTGGATCAAATGGAACAGCGGTATTAGAGGAAACCTCGGCCTTACTGGAATTTATTCATTGGGTTATTGAGGTCCAAGGCTGAATGCGCTTATTCCACGACTCATATCACTACGCACTCATTAGCATGGTGGTCGCTTCACCGATTCATCTTGACGTGGCTCTCTTTCTTACCTAACCGATCGAAGGTAATTATCTCCAGGCTAGTTCTTTCTCGTTCAAAGCTCACTCAGCTAACAGTCAAGGCCACGAAATTCCTGGAGGGAGGGACAAACAGTCAGACACCACTCATTCTAACAGTACTTTTGTTTGTTTGCGGAGAACGCAGTTCATTGCGACTGGACGGACGTTGTGATAAACTCAGTCCAATGAATGCCGTGTGAACGACGAAACACCATTCCCATTGTGATTCACCTTAGAACGCGCGTGGTCGATTCACTTGAAGTGGAAAGTGTATGGAGTTCACAGCAGAAAAATGCTGCGTCTAAAACGTTCCATTGATATTTGTTCAAAACGGGGATTGCAGAGTCTCACGTTGAAGATGACCTCGAAGGCTTTTCTGAATAAAAGATCCATTATATATCGTTTGAATACTTGCCAAAGCATTAGGCCTTGTAAACATCGCGGGAGGCATGTTACCGGCGTTTTTCTCTCTTTAAGATGAAAAAACGTAATTCACTCCCGGAAAGAGATGTAAAATTATTGTTTGTGGACTGAAAAGCCCACTGAACGTACTTATAGACTTGTTCAACGAAAGTGCTTGATGAGCAAACCGCGATACAACATCGAGGGGTTGTCAACTAGCGAATAATAACTCTATATTATAGGGATTCTTCGTTGTGCATGTGCACTTTCGCGTATTATCATATGATCCTCGTTTTGGAATGATAAACCCCATCATCGCATTATGATCTTAACCGTTTCTCAACCACTGTTTTACCAACAAAAACAGAATGAGACGTACACCTTCTCCAACTCACTCAGCACAGTATGATTAAATCCCCGGATCACATTCAACAACTGTCCGTCCTCGTTCCATATCTTAATCAGGCGATCAAAGCTGCCACTGATCAGCAGAAATTGACCGTCTGTGTTTCGAGCCGTTGTCAGACATGAAATTATCCCGCAATGCGCTTCTCGGACAACACTGAGCACGACCATTTTGTGGTCAATCGCACCGTTTATATCGTAGACCACTAGGCGTCGATCAAATCTGATAATCGGGAATGCAGAAAGAGCATTATTTTCCTACAAGCGAAAAGTTTTCCAATGTCCTTTAAATGTAAGTTAGCCGTTTTCTATTGGGACACAGTTACACGGAAAAGTAATGTGCAAAGATAGCGCATCATTACGTCACGTTGAATTTCTTTACAGATCGGGTTGCAAGCAATCCTCCTGTGTTTGATTCATATTTTAAACCGTTTCATATATTTTAATCACAAAATGATTGTGAAATGTAACATACTTATTTTAAAGGGAGCTGGAAAGAGCGTAATGAGATTTTATGGAAACTTTCTCCATGTAAATAACAAAAGAAGTATGAAGGTGGAAAGCGGGAAAGCACTGTACTACTGATTCGACCTAGTTGGGTCTCTTCAGTAGTACAAAACCATCCTCCCAAATTAGGATCGAAAATGTGGCCTCACAGATTGAAAGCAAGTATAGTAATTATATGTACCTATATGTGCTAGGAGGAACTATCCGACCAGCTTCCAGGTGGTCTTGTGGGTAGACTGGTCGCACTGTACTTACGAGGTTCCGGGCTCAACCGTTAGTCGATCGACTCGCCTCGCTGATGAGACCCATCAAGGGATAAAAACTCTACACCACTTCCCAGCTTTTCAGTTCTTGTTTAATGTACTCGTGCACGATGAAAATCATCGAACATTTATTATTTTGAACTTCACTTGTTGGTCAGTCGGTGGATGCTGGAAAATTGTTTGCCCTTTAGCAAGGAGAAAACAGCTTTTACAACGTTCCATTTAAAGGTCATCGGTCCAACCAACCGCATCTCCTGTCAGATGTAGCCAGATAATTGACAGTTCCGTCCCCAGTGCAGAAGCTGTCTGGATGAGCAGTGGAGGCAAACACGAATACAACGTGGTACACATAATAAAAACGTTATTGTGACACAAAGACAATGAGATAATCAATGGTGATTCAATTTCACAAGTTAAAAGTCTGGTTCTAAAACCAGCTATTTTATACAGATTATTTTATGTGACTTCAGCATTACACAAACAATCCTAATTTGACCGTTGACTCACATTGACGAATGAGGACCAGATGCACTGACAAATTTTGACGAACAATTTATGTACATGTTTCGCGGCCGACTATCCAGATCGGTTCGCTATTTTATGAAAACCACACTGGAAGCACCAGAAATCCGTCTCCGCACACACCGCTCACTGAGCGCAGAAACCAACTGTACTGGTGTTTAAGCCTCTCCGACCCACCGCTCATATCCACACTTATCTGTGTTATAAATTTTGCTTTTCCAAAAACAATCTCCTGTTTGATTGATTAGGGAGACATTGTGGTTTTTGCGGCATTCAGATGAATCTCTGAAATGAACTTATGGGTCACTATGCTTCATGATCATGGTTTTCCTCTATTGAAGTGAACCGCGAATCACATGAACTGGTTGCTGTTGCATAAATACCGCCCAAGGGAAGTGAACTTTAAAATCTCAATTATTAACTATCCGAAATCTCTCGTAAAAAGGATGAACCAAAAGTACAGTTTGTTATTAATACTCAATTTTATAAACTACAGCACCATACTAATGCAAGGATAAAAATGAGTTATTATTCGATAAAATCGCAAATGACTTCCCAGTTCGCAGAACGAATCTCGAACAGAATACCTTTTTTCTTGGTTCGGCCTGCGGTTAAACTTCAATATGGTAATTACTTGGTATTCTCTTGAAACTGCTTTCTAATGTTTTCAGCATAACTACTATTAGATAAACGGATAACAATGATTGAATTTTTGGAGTAATGTGTGATCCGTTCAATCCGGTTAGAACTGTTTTGCACGATAGTTACGGAACCAACAAGAGCTTCATAAAAGACCAAACAATTCTCAATTCATTTTCATGCATGCTTTATCTGTGACCAATGGCCAAGTTAACTGGTTGAGAATGCATGATAAGACCCAAGGTACTGTGGGTTACATCTGCTATTTTTGTGACTTCATAAATAATACTATTCGTGTGGGATGTCCAAAACAAAAGGAGGAATAACAATTCATATTGCAGAAAGAAGATTGAGGATTACAAACTTTGTCTGGGTGCAAATCAAACATCGATAAGCTAGAACTCTTGCACGAAAGCTTGCAGGAATTTCAAGTTATTTACTGCTAGGTTTGAGTATACAGTTATCCAAAATTATCATACACAGTTTATTATTTTGTCCCTGTTTTGCCTGGTTGCTAATAATTAACTTACCCTGCGGAAAATGCTCTATGCTCCCCTTGTGCAATACACCGTACAATATCCCGGTGTCCTTTCATGGGCATGCATGCGTCTCGATTGATAAATGTCCCGGCTGTCATATCTGAAAATTTGGAAATTATGACCAGATTATTGATAGAGTTCATTCGTTTTCAATTTAGAAGTGCTATTTCTAATTTTTAAAAGTAGAAAAATTGTCGATTTTAGTGTGATATCCAGGGGGAAACTCACGTGTATACACATCGTAAACAATCAGTTTGTTATCGGTACCACAAAGGAGTTGTTTGTTCTTGTCCAGCATGAGAACAGAGTAGATCGGCTGATAGGTCTATATTTTAAAAGATGCAAACAACCGGGTTTGTTTACAAGTTCATGGCCCGAAGGCAAATACGGTCGAAAAACTCAATTGTCACTTGCTTCTTAATTTTTCTAATTGCGAATGCAGAAGCGTTGTCATAATGAAACAGTGACCAATTTCTTTTTGAACGCACTAATTACTGATATGTCGTTATACTTAGTTTATCCCATTCGTATTGGCTACAGGCACTGGGTACCTGTAATGATTTGTAAACAAACCAATGTGCTAAACAAAAGCATGACAATCTAAACTGATTAAGCTATTTGCACAATGTTGGGACAGTCGGCCTTGTGCTTCTGGGTTAACAGTTTCTACTCCCAACCCGAAGGTTCAAGGTTCCCTTCGCCGGAAGGGACACAAACACAATGCACTGTTGACGAGTCCGAATTGGAAAGAAACTGCCACTGTGAAAGTGGCAATAAAATCAATAATCGAAATCCTTCTGTTCCCCTACATTAGACAAATAACAAAAATGGAAGGTCACTGAAGTTCAGTTCAGTTCAGCTTTTAGAACCATTAACCGTGCACTTTCGTGAGCCGGTTTTGGTTGCTGTCTCTTGGTGCCCCAGTTGGATAAAAGAGCAGAATGAGCTTGAGATGTTGAATGCCAACTAAAGCAGAAGATAGAAAATTCATATAGAATGGTTTAAGTGAAAAAATGAGTAGACGCACAAGCGCCATTGTTTGCGACACCCAGCCATATCACTGTGTCTCCAACCATCGGTGACCATCGTTCCGAGGTCACCAGCCAGGCAGCGTAACGGGGCCTTTGTGACATAGTCTCCTGGTTAAGGTTTTCATGCCCTCATGTCAGGTCACTGAAGTGTCACCAAATTCGCTGTAATACTAATAGACGAAACACCCACCAAGAAAGAATATTATGAGGTGTATCTTTGTTAGGTTTCCTTTATATCGTTACCACTAGATGTATAGGTCTATATTTTATCCTGAAGGCATTTTAATTTTTACGATATTTTTTAAACTGTTGAATGTAACCACAAACAGACGATGCAAAAATCGTTATCCGCATTTAAAATCTGGTCTTCTAGCGGCGTTTCATATATATTGGTGACTAACCAGCTCAACAACATTAAATCAAACGGAAGGTTACTGAGTTGCCGCAAGCTTGCCTCACAACGCAGACTGGGATGATACGCGCTTTATGGTCAGTCTGTAATGTGAAATGAAGTTGCCAAGATCCCTGACGAGTTGGTTTTAAAGATTATCTTGTGTGATAGGATTATAAGCTTAATAGCATAGAAACGCCTCGATTACAGACGTTCATAGTGTAGTTCAGGAGTAGGCACTGTTTGTGCCTTATATTTCGCATTACTCCAAAAATATACTGATCCAATATCCTTGCATTGGGATTTCACTTTAATGAATTTTCTTCCCAATACTCCCACAAACTGCAGGGAGTGGAGAACTGCTGTCGGGTCTGAATCCGCATTTGTTTGGTCGAGGTAGACGAATAAAGACGGTGAACATATCCCCATAGGTAGCTAATCTAAAACAATGCTAGAGTCATTGTGTGTTTTTCGTATTTGGTGTTTAGCCTGTTCCAATTTCAGTAGCTGATCAGAAATGCATAGGAAAGCAGTCATAACTAAGCGCTCAAGCATTAAACACCCCTAAGATGTGTACACTACATGAAGCTCTTCCTGGAAAATTTAACTCAACTGTTGTTGTTGTTGTTGTTTTCGTTGCTATTATTATTACTTTGGCACTGAGCTGGTACATAGAAAGAGAAAATGGAAGCGTACAGTGAGTTGTAAAATGTTCATTGTAACGTTGTGACCCAAACTAGGACTCGTTGTCAAACGTGAATGAAATGAATGCGTTAATGGGATTAGTCTTTCCCTGCTCCTGTTTGCTGTTTGTGGCTCTGTAGGTCCACCAATCGTCGCGCGTTTTGCGAGTGTGACGTAATCTTTGTCCATCTCGATATGTCGGTTGAACGAACTGACCGAGTATAGAGCTTCGAGGATTAATCGTTCCCCTTTCTTCTTAGCTCGCCCCACCACGTTTGCGTTATCGAACGCGATTTCGTGACCTTTCCGTGCTCGGTGGTGACAGATTTGTGACCTTGAGTCAGCTCGAAGAGAAACGATCTCACGGTTGCTGCTGGTTTATGGGCTATCATGATTCCCAACGGTAGAAGTTTTCGTTCGATGGCTTCTGACGTGCCGGGTTTGTGGGGTAACGTTATCCGAATTCCCTCTTTTGCATGTGCAGTTTGTTTTCTATTTATGATGCACGCGTCGATAAAACTTCTGGGATATTCATTTGATAAGAACAGTTAAGGGAGTCGATTTATTTCTCCTGTCCTTAGCTCCGGTGTGCTGCAATGTATGTTCTCTCCGCGGAATATAGTCTGCACACAACTTTCAGGCGGAAAAAGAGATGGTCGCTGTTATAGTTGAGGATGCGATATGTCATTGTTCGTTTGCAGTAGACTGCAGTCTCTATTGTTCCTTTAGGTTGTCTCATGAGAAAGATATCGACGACGGAGAGTTGTCCATTTTTCCCTTCCTTTCGTGGGAAGTTGATCCCAGGTACCCGTTCGTTGATGATTTGGTGAAAGTGATCTACCGTGGAAGTTCTGAGTATGACGAATGTGTCGTCCACATATTGTATCCACAGACAAGGTTGTAGAGTTTCAGGTAGTCTCGAGGTGCCTCATAATCGTATGCGCAAGCAGGCTTGGGAGTGATGAACTAATTGGAGTTCCTTGTATTTGATGGTACACCTTGCGGTTGAATTGGAAATAGGTTTCCATGCACAGTTCTACGTGTTTTACTAGTTCGTTCACAGATAATGTCTTTCGTGATCGCAACTTTTGTTTGTTTTGCAATAAGCGGCGAATGCTTTCGATATGTTTCGGTATGTTCGTAAACAGTGAGGTCACATCGAAGGAGACCATCACTTCCTTTGGTTTGATCTTCAGTCCTTTAATGCGTCTCAGGAATGCCGTGGAACGTCTGGCATTATTTTGGCTCGCAGGTAAGGATAGATGTATTAGGTAGAAGTTTATATTCTTCAGCTGTTAGTTTCTTGTTTTTCTTGAGAATGTAAAAGGATTAGATTAGTTGGTCCCTGAGTTGCTTTGCTGGATTCCCGTTGACTGGCTCATACGTTTATTTGTCTTCGATGACTTGTTTCATCCGATCTGTGCATTAGGATTTGTTCAACAGTGCGATTATATTGCCTTTATCTGAGTCTGTGTCTTTTTCACTTCCTTTTTCTATTTATTGAATATATTAATGTACAGTCATTTTTCTGTCCGAAGAATTGCAGTTTATTCTCAGCGATTTCCCTGCTCCCATTTTGGCATCAGAGTTCAGCTGCAGCTGTTTTATTTGGATGAACTGTTGGCATACTTCGACCCTAACGTCTTCGCTTTTTTCTTCGGGTAAGAAACATTTTCTTAGTCCGAACTCCACTGATGCAATGAAGTCGGTTTGTTTGGCATTGGAATGTTTAAATCTCATCCTTTCATGGGAATTGCTGATTCTTTTGATGTAACTTGGTGTTAGGAGAAGTTGTTAACTGCCTCGGAATATCCTGAATGTGTCGCGCTTAGGTTATCACGCTTATCGTTTAGTCCGATTTGGGTTTTAACACTGTTTGCGGTTTACGTTTCCTCCATATCTCTGCTTATTTGTTCGATCCAATCAATTTCCAGTAACCTTTTTGCTCCGTTTCTGAAGTGCCCGTGATGATTTTCGTACACGGATCTTTGTCGGATGAGCAGGATTGATCAATGCGCGATGCATTCCTTTATAGTAGACAAGTGCGATGATTCTGGCACCTTCCGAGTCGACAAATGAGTCATACTTTATGATTTTTGAAATGTGTATTACGTTGGAATTGATGGAGGAAGAACAATTGTTTGGTAGTAGCTCTCCGGTTTTCCCACAAACTTAAGCGCATTTTGTCTAAATGACTGTTTCACAACCGGTTTGCAAACAAGCGGGGCGTCAACGTGACAGTAACAATAATAAAATGCTTTCGATAGACCTTAAGATAAACTTGGTCACATGCACACCATGATCCTCTGCTTGGTCCTTTCAAATATATCAACTCTACGATCACTCTATCGCCCACCAAATTTCTAAGTAACAAAACTGCCCAAAATTCGGTTAAATTGTTTTGATCTAATCACTACTGTAATATATATATATGATCATCATTGTGTTGCACATTAAAATCCCTCTGTTGGAAGTGCGTTAGAAAAATATGGTATCCTTCCATGAAAATTAGCGAAATTTGACGAAATCATGTTAGATGACCAGTAATTTTCCTCATTTCTCTTCCCATCTATTATAACTTCTTATTTCCTCCTCAATCTTTTTGAATGATTGCTTAATAACAATGAGTCATATACCTGTTTTTCGGCTCAAAGGGTTGATTTAGATAGTGTGACCTTATTACTTGCAAGAAGTTTGCTATAAAATTTCTTCAAGATCTCATACAGGCGTTTGTGACTGCAGATTTTACTTAGACATCCGGTTTCCGTTTTGTATACGAACGGACACATTTAACGAAAGAGAAAAAAAATTATCATTATGCCATCCAAGTAAGAAGCTCAAAACCGGTGATCAGCATTTACAGAACGAGACCAGTGACATAAAATTGACACATGATCGACAGAATAGGAATGGAGGAGTAACAATGATCAGTGTAGTGTTGAACCACCAATGAACATCTGGAGATGAATTGGCATTAGGCTATAAATAGATTGCATCAAGACTTATCAAATTGGGAAAAGATCGGTTGTTAATGGTGTTTACCAATTGATACAGAGTCTACAGCAAATTCTCTGTTCACAGAGGGAGATTTTAAAGTCCCAGAGGTAGAATAGAAGATAAGTAGGGCAACTAATCACTTACTTAGAACATAGCAATGGAATTTTTATAGGGAAGCGCCTCATTATAAGAAGA